TGAGCAGCAGCCCCCCTGGCCAGCTTTCCCCTAGTCCTTCAAGTCTTGTACTCCTGCCTCCAACCATTCCAATAAGTGAACACCTAGGAAGGTTAGCACAGGGTAAGCACATTTGGTGTTTTTCCCTTCTGCTTCCCCATCTCCAAGTATTTTCTGCTCACGGAATTCCTGAGCTTGAAGAGGTTTATCTGTTTATTAAACCCTAACAGAAAACTCTTCCAAGATTTGCCCAATTTCACCTTGAATCTGTCTCATAGTCTTGTCACCACTCTATTTTTTTGCAAGTTCTATACGTCTACTCTCTCTTGCGTGAAGAATTGCTTATTTTCTTTATTTTCCTGGAACAGACTGGTCCTCATAGCCCAAAAGACAGTGAACAGTCAATCACTATCCACTATCTCATTACCACTGATGATTCTGTAGGCCTCTGCATATCCCCCCGTAGCCACCTCTTCTCAAGGCTGAAGAATGCTAATCTGCTCAGTCAATCCTCATATGGAAGCCCCTTCATCTAATTATTCTTACTGCCATTTTCCAAATCCCTTCCAGTTCTAACAGAGTGTCTTGAAGACAAGAGGATCAGAACTGACCCCAGGAGTCAAGGGGTAGGTAAACCATGGATTTATATGGTGACGTAACTATGTGCTCTTTGTTGTTTACTCCTTTCTAAAATCTGTTTTGCTTTGCTCATTGCTCCTAAGCACAGAGCTGATGTTTTCCTGGACCTATTCCCTATAACTACAATAACTACAAGATCTTGTTAATGGTAATGGTCAAAGCTAGGCCCATTATTTTTCATTTTACCCCATGCACATCACTTTACATTCATCTATTTTGAATTCCATTTGCCACTTAATTGTTCAGTCATCCAGGCTTCTCAAAAGTTTCTCAAAAACACTCATAAGAAGTGAAGCATCAGAATTACTTACCATGTAATAAATACAAGATAAACCTGACAGCATCACTGATGTCGTTAGTTTCAGTGTATTACAAAAGATACACCTGAGAACCCTGTACAGGGAAAAATACCTAACTCAAATAATTTTTCCACAATCATATGTGCCTCAAATGGCAAATTTTGTTCTTTACTCTTTCAAGATTTTAATATTAGTTTATGTCCACTTTTGCTTCATAGAGCTCTACAGATCAGTTGAGCAAATATGACAGGTTTTGTTCCCTAGGACATCACTATATTCACAGGAAGTTACAATATTCACTGATATTGCCAAGTTACTTATGCAAGAAATAACTGCGAAGAGATCACTCTTACAGCTGTTCTTTCACATTTTTAACGCAAGAAAATTTTGGAGGCTTTTTTTTTTCCCCCCTCTTACAACCATTCTTTATAACAGTTCCAGCAAGAAGAAATATAATCTCTACATAAAGACCAGCATGTCAATGGATTTCTGAAAAAAAAACCCAACACCTTTCGAGGCAGAATAATCTCCCAGTCACCGTTTTGGGTACATGTTTGCTTGCTGTTTTTTGAGATTTGAAATGGAATAAAACCTTCAAGCGTGTTCAGAGGAAACAAGCCTGTATTTCTAGAATGTGTTAGGTGACTAATCTATTTTCTGAACCTAATTTGTGTATTTATTTGCCTTGACAAAAATTGTATGGCTTACAAAAATGCACTAACAGGTGGCTTGCTGTTTATTTCATAGGGAAGTACTGCTATGCGATGCAGCATTTCTGTGGTCCTTAGGCTTCATGGACAGCAAGTAAACAGATTTATGATATTGTTAGAACAGACTGTGGTTCTCATGAGGTGTGACAGCTGTTATTTTATAGTACTTAAGCCAGTGTGAAGTGACAGTCAGCTACCTACTGGAAATGGTACATACAGGCAGAAATAACGTGTATTCACATGATTCCTGCAGCATGTAAATGCAATAACATAGTCATACTCCCTCTTTCAAATGCACTCGCCTTGGCACATCGAGATCGCTTATTGGGCAGCTGTGATGCTCCGTGACAAACTGCACATTCTCCATGCTGACCCATTCTTTACGGCAGGATCCACCCTTTTTCAAGTGTACAGTCTTGTTGCATTTGCAGTTTTTCCCCATCCACATCCTTCCTAATACACAGACTGATTGAATTACTAGTAAATCCACAGACGTGAAAATAACCACCTATGTCTTCTCCACTAAAGATCCACCTCTGAAAAAAATATATTACTATCAACATAAAACAGGGGTAGCTCCTGATCCACCTTCATCACAACAGAAGAAAGATGTTTCGATAGAAGCACTGCATACACAGGACATGCTTTGTAACATAGCCAAAAAACATTACCTGATGCAGCATGTTAATTTGACTCTGATTCAGGCAGGACCTGATTGAGTCGAGCCAGAATAACCTCAGGATAAGGGTACAACATCAGGAGCCAAGAAACCTGGCCTCTCCTCGTGTCTCTATCTCAGATTATTTATGTAACCATGGGTAACTCAGGTCAGGGCTCATATGCATGACTGAATTATGAGCATCTAATAAGTTACTGTGTGTCTAAGCAGCAATAATTCACGGTAACTACTTGCATTCTCCTAGCCAGTGAAGGACACGTTAAGTAGATCCAAATACCTTGATCTGGGCAGACCTAAGACAGTACTTAGAAATTGTTAACAAAACCCAGCTGACAAGGGGATAACTTCTTGAAGTGCCATACGTTGCTTTTGTTAGCTGCCCGTAAGTTGAAATAAATCATTGCTTTTAAGCAAGCGTAAAGCTAACTGTGGAGGTCTAAGTGCTCCAGCCACTTCCTTACAGTATCTCTTACAGAATCCTGTTTATTTATCATGTGTTAAAGTTTTGTTTCCCTCAACACCAAAGGAATTTTATAAGAGAAAACAGCTACGCTGCTCAAGTTAGTCTACACACTCACCAGGGTGGGGATTTTGTTTTGATTGGGGGGGTGGGGGGGTGTTTTTA